CCCATTCTGCCCGGGACCCGTAAGGCTACGGCGGATGCTCATCTCCCACTCCTTGATGCAGGTCCTGCCTGTTATGACGGACTCGCTGAGGCAGTCAAAGATGGCGAGCTCCCACCGCGCAAATGAGCCCCTGGTCGGGCATAAAAGACCAGCCTTTGGATACGGGCTATTCCCCATGATAAGAGGTCGGTCACCGACCGGAGTGAGGAGAAGGACTCTGAGATTATGGTAGGATGGTACCCACCCCCACCATGGCGACCCTTACTGGGGCTACTGCTCCTGTTCAGGTACTCCCGCTCGGGTGGGTGTTAGGGGTCCAACCCCTTTTGGGTCCTCGGTTCTTAAACGAATCAGGCTGGTGACCGCTATAGATCTGACTTCTCCCTGGAGAATTTAAAAATGTACTTATGGACATGCTGGGGCCCCCACCCCCTTTCTTGTACAAGGTGTATGTACTACTTGATTCTGCTACGGCGGGGACTCTGAACGGCCGGGTGCATCAACTATTGGCACTATTGGCAATATTTCTATGGCCTTAACGGCCGAACGCCAGAAGGCGATTCTTTTGCAGGTTGACCCCCAATTGGTGAATGTAACGGAGCTCCTTGTACTCCGACTGAGTACCCTCCGTTGACGGATGCTCCTAGCACTTCCTGAGGACTCCAAGCGCTGCAGCAGACACCACAACCACCGCAGACTCCGCAACCGCCATATCTTGACTGGAGTCTCGCCGTCTTCCTTCCACCCTGGATCAGCTTCTGTCCTCCAGGACTGTGTGGGAAAGAACTCTTCCTTCCACCCTGTACGAACCTGCAGCATCCAGGACTGTGTGGAGAAGACCCCTCCTCCAAGGAGAGCGTGTCAGGAACAAGCTCTTAAAAGAGCTAAGAGCATAGCAATCCCCAGTGTGATTATAACAGCTCCCTCCAATAACGAGACAAGGCTACGTTTAGAGGGATCAAGAAGAACTGTCAAAACCTTTATTTCCCTTGGGACCAGCCAATAGGGTCACCACAATAACATTGTTGTGAAACCTCAATAAAATCACAAACAGTCAAACCATAGCAGGCAACACACAGTGACTTATCACAACACAATGGCACATTTTTAAAGGGGTGGGGGAGACAATATTTAACAGTAAATATCTCACCTGCCTGCAGAATTAGCAATATGCAAATCTACCCGAATATGCAAATGAACCAGTCTTGCAATTCAGGTAGTGCATATTGCTGTTGCTACCAACAGAGGGCACTAGACAAGCTCCATACCCAAACCCACCTAGTTGGTAGCAAACCTCAGTATCACACTCAGCAATACAAGAGAGCAGGCAATACATTACACAGTACACACACATACAGACTATAAACAATTACATTACACACACCCTGCACCTATAATGGGTACAGGGTGACTAAAACATAAGATAAATAAAGCAGCCTACATAAATAGTCTGTCTGAAGGTAGACTAGGGGCTTTAAAGCCAGATACATAAGAGTCATAGTCACAGGGGAGGAGGCTGGCAAGTAGGCCTCTCCAGGACCAAGTGGCGAAGGGCACTTCGTCACAGTGAATATGGCCATCTCCGAACCGGTCCCTCAGCTGAATGGATGCTGTTCGGGATCAGAATTTTGTTAAGGAACTGGGGTCCTACGTGAAGACATTCACAGCGAATGATAAACCCCAGGAAAACAGGAATGGGTTTTTTCTCCAATATTTGGTGGGGCCGGGCGTGACAGGAGCCGCCCGTCTGGCTGTGATTTGCGGGACTCGTTCTGAACACGTCAAAGCTCCTTCCTCCCTATACGGGATTTCCACGAACCCCAGCCTCCACACTCCTCCACATCAAGGGGGAAAACATTAAATCCCTGCCACCCTTGTGGTAACACATCAGGCAGACACGCTTCTGGTGGATACCCATTGTTCCCCTCATCCTCCTCGAGGACGGGTGGTGGGCAGGTTTGGCCCAGTTTTTTTATTACGGTTGAGCTGCCTTGACTATAGGCTCATGGTCTCTCCGAGCGGTGTGGGCTACCGTCTAGAGTTTTTTTTCTATCTTAACCTGTTCAGCATTTTTGTCCCCATAGCACTTTCCCCTTCAGGGGGACAGGAATCATTGTTCTCCATGGAGACCTGCGATCTGCTTGCCTTAGGGGCGATCTGACAGTTGCAGTGGGGTTACCGAGCTTCAGGTCAGCCTAGTCTTGGTACGTTAGCAGGGAGGAGGATTTCAGCCCACGCTACTTCCCTGACCTCTCTATGTTTTCCCTTGGTACCAACACTTCCATATGATGGGCATCCACTGCCTCCAGGATCATCTCCAGGCGTCAGATTGGTTGGCCAATCTGGAACTGAAGGACCATCACATCACGGTTCCTATAAACAAGGAATCCAAGGATTTTTTCTCAGTTTCTTTGCCTGGAGAAGGAAACGTTCAAAGTTTTCAATGACTACTGTTCAGTCTCTCATCGGTTTCTGGGTGTCGCACCAAGGGGTCCTAGAGGTATCTTTCTGAATATCTACCTAGACTACATCCTGGTCATGTCCCTGTCAGGGTACCAGTTATGGTTGTATGTCAACTAGCCGATTACAGTGCTTCAGAGTTTGGTTTTTTTTGGGGGTTTTTTTTTGTCAGTTCTGTATCCCTCACAGGTGGTGAAGTTTCTTGAGTTTCACAATGGAATTATATCAGGCAGTTCCTGTTCCTCCATGGCTCCAGGATGAAAGCCATGACGAAAGTAGTCATATGGACTCAGAGTAGAAGACCTGACGATCAGGCGTTTAGTGAGGGTACCCGACCTGCCTACGGCTTCCATCCAGGCTACATCTCTAGGACCACCTCACTTTCGACCCCTTCAAGTCAGAAGGATTCCTATCTCTGTCCAGGTCACTCTTAGGTGGAAAGGCGGACGTTGGATGACGGCTCCAGAAAGAGATTGATCCGATGGCTTTGCTCATAGGGAGGCCTGATCAACAGGACCCTCTACGAGCCGTGAACCTTTTTCTTCCAGAGACAAGTGGTCCTAGTTCGAGAAGATGTTGCGGGAGTCTTTTGCTTTTCGCAGTGTTGCCCCGGTCACGCGAACAGCTGCGTTATGCTCTGGGTGGACTATATGTCAGTGATGAGTTCCATCAACCATCTAGGGGGCACGAAGTCGCGCACGTGGCTAATCGTGGCATAGGACTTCTGGCAATTTTGTCTTCACAACGTCCCGGTGACAGCAGAACACATTCCAGGCCTGGACACTTCTGGGGCCGATTGGAATTAATGATTATTCAAACACTTCTGGAGACTGGCGCTTACTCGCTTCTGCGTTTTTCATGGTTTGGAACGGTTGTGGAAGCTGTTCGAGGCGGATCTGTTGGCATCTTGCCTTAACACCTAGTTGCCAAAGTTTTACGGCTGGAGGACGGTACCTATCGACTGTAGCGATTGACTCGTTCACTCAGGATTGACCGGATACTTGGATGTATGCCTTCCCTCCATTCGACTTGGTTGCTCGCAGGCTCTTGCAATTGGCCCAGCACTAGGTTGCGTTGGTGTTGATTGCTACTCTGCAGAGGTCACGCCCATGGTTCCCTCAATTAATGAGAATGGCGATAGTTTGCCCAGGTTTAATTGCAAGCATTCAGAGCTCTTCTAGACCGAATGGGAACACGCTTAGTGGACCAAGGCCTTCTACACCGGATGACATGACTCCTTTCAGGGTGCTTGGATTATGTTCCGCGATCAACTCCCCGTCACCTCTGTATCACATGGACGCCGGGTGATCGATCGGCCTTCGGTCATCATGACAAGTGTGGTCCGCTTGATGCGAGGGACTAACACTGGTTTCCGTATCTAACCCTCAACATCCTTGTAGAGGTTTCACCTTGCTAGGCCACCTGGAGCTGGAATTTTTACCCTACGTTCAGGACGTTTTTGACACTATGGCCGGTGGAGTGTCTGAAGACTTACCTGGAGGATACGCAGACACTTTGTTCTTTTCCTTCCACGCTCCCCACCTACCAGTGTCCACTCCTACATTGGCACGATGGGTTTAATGACCGCTATATTCGCTGCTATCGACATGTCGTTTGTTACATCCCACTTGGTACATGGAGATATGATGTCCAAGGCCTCGGAGGGCGGTTGTCGTTTGGAGGATACCTTATGGGCTGTTGTCCGGTGGCGAATCGAGTTTCGTGATTTCTATTTCAGGCCGATTGATCACATTGCATCTCATATGGTGGCTCAGCTTTGAACCTGCATAACACTCGCCTCCGTGTCTTTAATAAAATTCCCAGATTTTACTATTAACATGACGTAAAGTCATGATTTTATTAAAGACACGGAGGCGAGTATTATTCCCACCCACCCTCCCAGTGTTTGGTTTTGGGATGAGATGCTGTTGGCCTTTCAGGTATGTTGCAATCCAGTCTGTTTATTGTATATATTGTGTATATTTACTGATGAGGTTTCAATTTTTTATGGTTTGGTACTAATGGTAATTTTCTACATTCTAGGTTTGAGTTCCTAGACTGCTCCTGACGAATTTATTTGGTGAGTTTCAGTTTGGAGTTTGGATTTTACCATATTTCTCTCTTTTGTAGCTTGAAGTTCAGTTTGTTGCTGTTTCCTGTTCTTACCGGTGTGTGATGTTGGTTCATGTTTCCTGGTCTTCGGTTCGCAAGAAAGAGGGGGATTGTGGGAGACACAGGCCTTTTATAGTCACTTCCTCTGTTATATGATTGGTTGCCTGTGTGCCTATACAGTTTTTTTTTTTCTTTCATTTTGATATATTTATATTTCTCTGTCTTTGATGCTGAGAGTAATAAATAAAGAGATATGCATAATACTCGTCTCCGTGTCTTTAATAAAATCATGACTTTACGTCATGTTAATAGTAAAATCTGGGAATTGTACTCTTAATAGTTGATAACATGAGAATTATGCTGACTGTTATTTACATCAATTATTTAGGAAAATGAGAAAAATATCATTTGCATAATTTGGAACAGGG